TTATCTTCTTGATAAATCTTCAAACAGTGTCTAGCCACAGTTACCCGTGAAGGTAATTCAAAATTAGGCAAAGCTTTGGCCATCAATTTTTAAAACATTCCCCGTCAACAACTTTAAATGGTTGTTCATCAATAATGACAAATTCAGCGATGACCCTCCTGATATCCTCCACATTGTGCACAACCTTTTCAATAGAACTTGTCCATTTTCTTTTCCCTCTACTTTGATAGGTATAGATTTCAAAGTTGTTTGCCTTCTATCAACAAATCTAAAGGGAGATTTGAGCCATTTATCATTTAAATGTGACCACAATACAGAAGTTCCAATTGTTTTTGTCTCAACAGCAAAATATTTTACACAATAGTTACATTTTGCTCTTCATTACCTCATTTAGCAATAAATTTAGCAAAGTGATCCCAAATATGTGACGTTTCTCTTCCAGTATTACCATATGTAGCTTTGGAATCTATAGGGGTTGTTATTTTTTGCTTTCTAGGAGGAGTGTGGAGATGAGGAGTGCTTTTACCTTTCTTTTGAGGTATTGATACCCGGACGACTGTCGATAATCATTTCTACATCTACTCCAGTCGTAGTCTCCATCTAAGAAAGTGAAACACTAAAAATTAAGACTTGTTGTAGCAGCAACCAGTAACGATTCAAAATAAGGTTACTCTTTGTGAAATAGTATGCCTTGTTTGAAGATATTGTAAGTGACGATTTTCATTTATAAACTCACATTCGCAAGAAAAAGAAAGACGAAAACAAACCTAACTATCACCAAATAGATGAGCTGATGAATGAGGAGAATGAGAAGATAGAGGATTGAGGAGCTCTCTGGAAAGTGGAAAGATTGGAAAGTAGAAAGTCAGAATAGTGACTAGTTTCTAGGGTTTAAACTTTAAAGTGTATATTGGGCTTGGATCGTTTAACCAATTAATGGACAACAAGACAAGTATATATTATGATTTACAAGTTATAAACCCAAATATGAATATATATCTAATTTGTACATATTGAAAATTAATAAAAATAATTTAAAAATATTTACAAAAATAGATTATATGAATATTTTTTATGTATAAAAAGTTAAAAGTATATATGTATTATGTCGGTTTGGGTTGGATTCGGTTTGACTTTTTTTTTATTAATACCAAACCAAACCAAGAATGGTGGGGGTTTTTTCAACACCAAATCAATCAAACCAAACCATAAGTCGGGTTTTTTTCTTGGTTTGACTTGGTTCATCGGTTCGGTTTGACTTTACGGTTTGGTCTGTACACCCCTATTCTCAGGTATGTAAGGTTATTCATAGTGTAGGACTAATTCATCCTCACTCCCTACATCTCAATTCAGTCAGTAGCAAGTTGAATTTAGGGTTCTTCCTCAGTTTTATGAAATTATTATATTATGAGATTGCGATACTTTATGCATTGAAATTCTTGAATTATTGTTCACGCCTATAGTTTCATATGAACCCTACGTATTGAGTTTTACTAAAAATATTTCGAGTCAAAAATTTTCCTTACATTGATTTTGAAACCTAAAGCAAGTTTAAGAGAAAAGTTTAAAGCATTATTTTCAAAAAGAGTTTAAGTGAACTTAAATGGTTTCAAATGTATCATTATTACATTAAGAAAGAGAGCACTACTTTCAGAAAAGTATAAAGAGTTTTTAGAGTATTTCAAAAAGAATTAGTACAACTTCAATTACCTCTTAAAGAGGTCTTTTGAGAAATTATCTCAACCAGAGAGTACGTTTAAATGAGCACAATATTATATTTTGAGAGTAATATTGAACACCGATTTGGAGTAAGAGTTAAGATAACTCAAACTCCATAACCTACACCGCCAGCGTAGATAGTATCGTACCGCAAGATGGGCGACTTCTCACTTGCCTCAAGAAGGCTTTTTAATGTATGCATCAATTTAGTTGCGTTCTATACTCCGGTAAGGTATAAGGAGACTCTGACAACATGGGTAAGACGTTGTATCATCACAAGGCTCATAGTGATGGTTGTTAGTTAGAGAAACTCCCTAGTAAAGTAAAGAGTATTATATATAAATTTCAATTCAGTTCAGTAATTGTCATTATTGCATTTTATTTGTGAAGCTTAAATGATTTTATCTCATGTTTATGCTTTACTTCAGTTGAGTTATATTTAAGTCTTTCAGTTCAATTGCTATTTCACTCAATCATGTTATATACTTGTATATTCAATGCACTGGTTTCATTCAACATGCATCATTTTATGATGCAGATACATGTATTCAGGATCATCAATATGTGTTTCGTTGAGATCACCCAGTCACTCGTCAACTTTTGATGAGCCCTCCTAGCTTTCGGAGGTCTCCAGTCTTTAGTTTACTTTTAGTAGTTGTTAAAGGTTTTCGTGGGTCATGTCTCGATGCCTATCTTAAAACAGTAGAGTCTTCATAGATAGACAATAGTTGAGAATCTTTTTCAGTATTTCTCTTATCATGTGTTTTGCTTAAAAAAAACTATATTTATTGCATTCAATATTTTCAAATAGTTTAGACTCAATATTTGACTTGAACGTTTTTCTGCAATGTTTTAAACTTATAAACGTTGAATAAGTCTTCCGCTAAGCAGTCAGCCAAGCCAAAGGTTTTCCTGGAAATCAATAATAGTTCTCGAGTGTCGGCCACGTCCAGGGTATAGGCTCAGAGCGTGACAATAAGCTACTACCTATCTTGTTATCATCTTCATTAGCAGCGATTATGAGTATGATTTCTAGTTAGCTTTTAACTCAAAGTGGCAGTGCTATCATGTTCCTTATAATATGTTGTATCTTGATTTATTTTGAGTACTCCGTGTTTTGATACTCATACAACACTTCTACATATTTTTATAATGCAACACCTAGTACGAATCATCTCTGCTGGTCCTTAATCATTCGAAGTCGTCGTTTTTGGATTGTGATGAACTCTTGGCATCCAGAGACTTGTTGCTCCTTCTTTTGTATTGTCTATGTATCTTGTATTTTGTTAGACATACCTATTATATATATCTCTATTCTTATACTTTAGATGCTCTTGTACCGTTGACTCTAGGTCCGCTATTTAATTTTTTGTGTATTCGTTTTTTTTATCACTTTCATATCCTTATTGCATTTTTGAATAGTTTTGTACATATTTATGTCATGGGTCCCTTTCTTGTCTTATTATTGCTTCTCCATTAGTTATTTCTAATTTTACTTATCTTGTGTTAATTAAGTTTTGTCTTACCTACTGAGGGTTTATGATAGGCATCATCATGACCCGATTTCGCATCGTAGTATTATGATTAGATTTTTTTTCCAATAACAAATCAAATCACATTTTCAAGTTCTTTTTTTTTATTTGATTCAGATTATCAATTTGATATAGTTTTATCAATTTTTCTTATACACCCTATTTGCATGTACGGATTTTAATGGTCTTATTTTTTATTGAACTTATATGTTTCTAAAAATATCTTTGTCCCACAATTTTAATGAAGGAAATTTTTGCAAAAATTAAAAAAATGAAAATCTTAAAAAAGTGTTTGATCAGTCCACATTAATTTTATACAAAAGTTATGATATTAATATTGAATTTAATTTTGTTAATTCTCATGGATGTGCGAAGTGTGATCGTGTATATTAGTAATACAATACAATACAATATTTTATAACCATCCAAATAGATTGTTAGCAGTTATGTGAGTTGGCTAGCTAAATTTTCATTTTGTTACTAAGAATTTGATTTCTCACTTTGTAATTCTTTCCCTCATCACCCTATCCTCATTTTTTTAAAATTGTTAAGTCCTAGTGTTTTTTTCCAATCCTTTCATCATTTTCGCTACAAAAAACCAAAAACAAAAAAAACAAAAAGGTGAGCAATTTTTTTTGGGGAAATTACCATTTTATATTTTTGAGAATATTTGCACCATGTTATCTATATTTTGTATATAAACACCTTTTATATATTTTATACAAAGTTGATATATTATAAATTATGATTTTCCTCAAGTATAAAATTGTATAATATTATAGAATATTGTATATTGAGTTATGTGAAAATATTTTGAAAAGGTATACAATAAAACCTCACTAAATTAATACTCGATAAATTAATAACTTCTTTAAGATAATATTTTCCTCCGATCCAGACTTGGACCAATGGAAAAAATCACCCATTTCGATAAGATAATATATTATATTTTCAGAAGACCCCTATATAAATTTATGATCCCATTAATATTACAAATTAATAATTCTTGATAAGTATAAATATATTTAAGACAATTTAGTGAAATATGATTCTATTGTGTTTTATTTTTTGTTAAAATTTAAATATAGTTGAAGCTCATCTCTAACTTTTCTTATTTCGTTCAAAAGTTTCGGTGTTGCCACGACTGCAAATCTTTTTGAGTGCATGTAGAATGATTTCTTGTACTCACATAATGCTTTACATATTTGATCCGTCATTATTGATTCTATGACACTTTTTAAATGAGAAGTCATTTTTGGATATGATTTCAAGAAATTTCCTATATATTTGTATACTTTATTCTTTCACCATCATACATTGAATATTTTTAGTAAAGATACAATGAGTAATATTTTATTATTAAGAAACAATGAACATTATGTATAATGAATTATTTTTACGATAAATTATTGAATTCTTGAATTTATTTTACAATGAATCATTTTGTTATATGATACATAATTTAGTAAGATATAATTGATTTTGATGTATTCATTGTATTTTATGTATAATAATTTTTTTAATTATGATACATAAATTAGTAAGATACAATAATTTTGATATAATCAAACTTAATCTTTATTGATTTTCAAAACCCTTTTTAAATTAATAAATATTAATTTATTGATTAAATAATATATCTAGAAAATAATAATATTTCATAGTCCACCAATATTAGTTTATTGTTTTTTTTTTTTTTGAAAATTTTCCTTTTTGTCTTTCAAAAACAAAAACAAAAAAGAAGACAGGCTGAAGAGGCGTATATTACAAACGCCCCCTTTGAAATCTTAAAATCTCTCAGAGAGCACACACTTGCCGGAGTTGGAACTAAGGTGAAGCTTAAAGTGCAATTCGTCTTCCTCATTCTTCCACTAAGCAGATGGAGAAACCCGAGTAACCCTCCTTATTTATTTTCCCCTAATTATTTTGGTATAATTTCGATCTTTAATTTGCACTTTTTTGAGGGGTTGTAGGGTTATTAAACCCTTTATTTTTTCATTAATGGAGTTTTGCTGTAAGTATTCGTATTCACGTTGATGGAGTAATTAACTTGGTGATGTTTACATTGTTACTAATGAAATGTAACTTTTTTTTTTATCAATAAGATAGTATGTTTGTAATTTTTGGACTAGCAGATGTTATTGCTATAGGATTGATTAAATATTCCTGAAACGTTTATCAGCCGTCAGCAGGTTTATGAGGTTCTGTTTGGGGTAAATACTTACCCGCACCATGTGTTTACACCAAACCTATTCACTTATCATGGTTAAGTTTTTACCTCTCTTCGGAATTAGTAATCCTGAATCCAGGTCGAATAACACATTTAATGACATCTCCAGCAGGAAAATTGTGTCCTTGTTAACTGTGTGCATGTAGCAATCTAACACTTAATGCTTTGTAGCTCTTAGTTTTGACATTGCAACTTATATCATATGGTGTTTCTTTCAAGAACTTGAGAACTTTGTCACTAACTCAGCTAGGGAATGGAGAAAAATAGTACTAAATGGGAATGTTATAGTATTTGTTACTGACATTCCTTTTAAAAAAAGGATAAACACAAGAAAATTTTTAGATAAAAGACCTCCATTAATGTTTTCATGTCTGCATTTAATAAGGAAAAAGAATTTTTCTATCTCACTTTTGAAAGCGTGTTCTAATTGATTGAAACTGGTGGCTTGTTTTGTCGAACAGGAGGCTGTAGATTTGCTTACCAGCTCAGGACATTAAGAGCAGTTCATCCCAGTTATATTGTTTTTCTGGATTTATGGTATTGCTTGGGTGAGCATTTCCTGGTGGTTGAATCGGATCTGAAATGTTTACTTGCTGACACGGTTATCTTCGAGGTATGATTACATTCTTAATTGAAGGGTGAAACAGGCACAATGTATTCTGTTTGTGCTGTAGGAATTAACTCACTCATGCTGCACATTTCCGTGATGACCTGGATTTGTATTGAGTAGACAGTGATATGCAATCTCATGTTTATTTCTTAGGCATATCTGAAAGTGTCACCATGCCTCGTAAGGTAAATTATGGAGTTGATTATGAAGAAGACTTTTATGACTATGAAGATTACAATAATGACTATGACGATGGATATGAATATGCAGAGAAAAATGGTGAGTGTCCCTCCAGCCCTTCTCAGTGCTTCATATTTAAAGATGTACTCTGCCCAGAAAATGTTAAATCTTATATTAAGATTACCACTTCATGATAATTCTGTGGTAACTGCTAACAGGGATTTGTGAAAGGATAAATACTTCTTCACTTACTAAAACTATATATGGGCTATGGCATATCAAAAGCTTAACTACTTAGATGGCTCTTAAAAAGTTCTGCCAGCTTCCAATTTAGATGACACTATATTCTGTTTTGAAATGTTTTAAATTGCTTGACGCTTCCACAAGTAAATGTATCTTATACAACTTTCACCTCTTTCAAGGATTCTGAACAATCAAAACTTAAAACCCCAATATGATGTTTCTGTTGTCAGATTAACCTCCTAACTACTAATATACTGCATCTGTCCAAACTAACCAATATTATATATATAAATAAATTGAACTCATGAAATTTCTGCACCAAGTCAAATTGTGACATAAATGAGCGCAAAGGGAATATTTGTTTAATTGTAGAAAATTTCCATTTGATTTTTTGTAAATTTTCATGTTTTTAGTTACTTTACCAGGACTATTGGTCTTGGCAGTAGTTTATGCCCCTTATATACCTAAAGCTTAATTTTAAGGAACTCAATATGTTATTTATGGTTTGCTATAGGAAGGGCACCAGAAACAAATACAAAGCAGGAATTGGTCAAGGTTGGCATCTGGCGTTGTTCCATTTGCACATTTGATAACAGAGCTAGTATGAACGTGTGTGATGTATGTGGAAATCCCAAACAAGAACCAGTTAAGGCTGGGGTGTGGTGTTGTCCCATTTGCACATTTGATAATGAAGATACCACAAATTTATGTGATATGTGTGGGGTCCTGCGTAACCCATTGATCAAAGGTTGTGGTGGTGGTGGTGGCAAAGCTAGCGCAGGTTAGCAACTGGCAATATGTCTCTTACAAATTTCACATTGATAAACATACAGTTTTCTTTTTGAGGGCTGGAAAGAACTGTTTCTGACTTTCTGTAGATAATAGTTTTGTTGCATTTTTATTCTCCTTGCGTATTTTCCTCCACTCAATAGATAGTAATAAGTAATGTGGTTGTAAGTTTTTTTGTGCGAGTTCTCCTTTTTGTTTCGGTTACTTAATTTTAAGACGTCATAATGGTCTTTACGCAAATGCCTTGCATCATCCATTGACAATGGTACTTATATTTTTCCATTTTGGTAGTTCTTAGTGAATTTCACTTGCTTCTTCATAGAGTAGATTATTTCCTTCAATTGGTGGCATATGCATAGTTTCTAGGGTGGCTATAATGGCCAAGTATCTCTGCCGCATTGGAAACCAAAAATGTTGTTCACTTCGAAGCACAGAACTTTAAGGAAAAAAAAGAGGACCGTTAACTTCGATGAGCTTTGATATATTTGTGGTACTTTGTCAAGAGGTGGGTTGGTGAGAGGGGGAGAAGGGGGGTGTATAAGGGTTTTTTAGTTATTACATTTTGGATACACAGGGAACTATTGGTATTAATCAGACTAATAAACTTTTAATAGTTGGCCTTTATCAAGAAGGGCAATATTAGCCCAATTCAGGGACATCAATGATTTCAACAATTAATGGAGGGCAAAGTTAGACCAGTTTTTACATAATTCAGTCGCAAATTTGGACTTTTTTCCCCTGACAAACTAAAAACCTCCCTTTTGTGTGGAAGTACTAAGGCTAAGGGTGGATCTTGAGTGAGAAACGATAGGTTAATTTGGATGTTAGTCCTAGAACAAAGTCATAAAAATTTATCCCCTTCAGCAAGAAACTTCTACTCGTTGGGAAATATGATTCTTAAAGCGTGCTTGTTGATTGATTTAATCAATTAACATGACTTTAGGAGATTTTATTTTTCCTTTTCCTACCGTAATCATTTCTCTTCTTTTTGGAAAATAGTAATGTGGTAATCTTCTAATGCAGGGTAGTTACTAAGTTCAAAAAAATATAAAATCTTCTGATGTGGGGGACCTTCAAAAGTAGAAACAGAAAAAGTATACTTGCAGAGATCCTGAAAAATCTACAAGCTGTTCAGTTTCTTCTTAACCTATTTCCTTGCACCAAATATAAATAGATACAATACAATTCCACTTAACCTTTTGAATGGAATTGGAAATATCTTCAAAATTTCTACTATTCCTCTCTCTCCAAACTCTCCACCATATGCAATGTGGGGTTATTCTCCACATTCCTTCTGGCTCTTACTCCCCCCTCTTCTAATCCAACAACTCAACGAATCTGTAGTATGCTCAGGCATAATAATTTGTGAATGGATAACGACACAAATATATGTATAAAAGATTTGATGTTTATCTTGAATTCAATAATTAATCTGTCAAAATGGGTGTGTTTTGTTCACACTAGGAATTCTAGGAAACTTGATCCTAGAGCCCTTAAGTGTGTCTTTTATGGGTGTTCTCCTACACAGAAATGGTACAAATGCTATCATTCTCCCCTAGGAAATTTTGTCAGTGTGAATGTTTCTTTTCGGGAGTTTGATCCTTATTTCAGTATTACACAATCACTTCTTCAAAGGAAGAGGAATAAAGAGGAAGAAATGATTCTCCCTGGTTCCACCATTGAAACCCCTTCCACAGGGGAAAGTGAAGTTGGAGAAAGAATTTAGGGAGAGATTGTTGGGCATTTGGGTCTCGTTCACATTGCCGGTCCCAAGCCCGGATAAAGCAGGAGGATTGCTGAGGATCAATTGGCAACCACCTTTACTTCATAAAGGTAGGGATAAGAATGCGTACATTTTACCCTCCCAGACCCATTTGTGGGGTTAGACTGGGTTTGTTGTTGTTATTGTTGGGGGATTGGATAGGCCTAATTTGATAACTTACTCAATGAGAAATAGAGTAGCAAAAGCCATCATGCAATCTGCCGAAGCTGCTAGGTAGCTCACCCCAAGAATGATTATTGTAGTACTAAATTCGTATATATTTGATATTTGTGGTAAACTGTGCGCTTCACTTCTCACTAATCGCTTCAATCTACATGCACCTTGTCGCCTTTTTGCGCTTTTCGTTTCTGAAAATACTACTAAAAATAGCAAGGATGGGTGAGCTTAAATCTATGAAGAAGGTTGGTATTATTTAGAGAGAGTTAGTGACTGGTTGCATACAATGCCTTTGGTCTTTTAATTTTCTCATTCAGATGAAATTATTTTGATTCATTTCCTTTCCTTATCTCGCTTTCCAGTTTAACATTATTTAAGTCCTTCAAAAAATTTCTCCTTTGTCCTGATTTTCTGGGATAGCTCTTCATGAAGTCCCTATTCCATATTCATAATGAAGTAGAAACTACACAGATCATTCAGTGGCTATATTATGCTTCTTTGTCCTAATATTTTATTAGAATCTTTAGGAGGTGCTTTCTAGGACCTTGTTCATTGGCTGTAATTTTTTATAAAGTTAAAGTTGTATTCTTCAGCATTAAGGGTATGCTGGCTACCTCCAAAAAGTTACAAGTTAAATCCATAATTACAAAGATCCTAGGAAATCTACCAACTGTTCTACTTCTTCTATACCATCTTCTTTACACCAAAAAAACAACATGTTAATGCAATTTTCTTTAACTTTCTGAATAGTGTTAGTAATATTCTCATGACACCTAAGGTTTCTTCTCTCCAAATAGCCCACCAGACACAAGTAGGTACTATAGACCACCATCGTTTTTGGGTCTTGCTCCCCCCCCCCTTCTCATCCAGCAGCTCAAAAGATCAGCAATATGTTCTGGCATCACCCAGGGCTCTTGAGAAATGCTGAGAACCATGTGCCACACCTGAACAGTAACCCTACAGTGTAGGAATGAGTGGCTGTTAGTTTCTTCCTTCTCATGACAAAAAAATCATCTGATCTGGAAGCCTCTTTTCTTGAGTTTTTCCTGAGTGAGATATGCCCTTCTGGTGACCAACCAGGTGAAGCATTTCACCTTGGTTGGGGTGTTGCCCTTCCATAGTTGTTTCCATGGACCAAGAATTCCCCCCGAGTGAGTCATAATCTCTCTTATACAGTCTACACACAGAGAGCTTGCCATCTGAGTCGTGTTTCCATCTTATACCATCTGCTTCTGTAGTAAGGCCCGTGAATTCACCCAATCTGAGTAACAGTTCAACAATTCTATCCACTTCCCAATCATTTAGATTTCTCCTGAAGGTGAGGTTCCATCCCTGAGGGGACCAAATCTCAACAATTTTAGCATCAGAATTGGTGCAAAAAGAAAAGAGATCGGGGAAGACTGAGTTTAGACACTCTTGTCCTTCCAAAAAAATATTTTGTTACCCTCTCCCACCTTGACCACCAAATTCTCCTTTAAACTAGGCCATAAATTTCTGATTGATCTCCAAACTGATTCCCCATACGTGCTATCTACTACATTAGACACCCACTCCTCAGTCTGCCCATACTTCTTGAGAATTGCTCTTCTCCATAATGCCTGATCTTCAACCACAAATCTCGAAAGCCATTTAGAAAGTAGACTTTTTTTCTGGACCCTCAGATTTTTTATGCCAAGCCCTCCTGTCTTCTTGCTTAGTAAGGCTGTCTGCCATTTAACTAAGTATATTTTTTTTTCCTTTGTTCCCCGACCATAGAAAATCATGCCTCAATTTATCTAACCTCTCTTCTACCTTTGCTGGTAAAGGGAAAAGTGACATAACATATGTAGGCAACGCATCCAGGACCGAATTGATCAGAGTGACTATTCCTCCCAGAGATAGATAGTTTGCCTTCCAATTAGCCAACCTCTTCTCTGTCTTCTCAATGATTCCATCCCAAATCTCAAGCTCCTTGTGATTATTCCCCAAAGGCATTCTCAGGTAAGTAGTTGGTAAGTGCTCTATCTTGCATTGCAAGATGCTTGCCAACAACTGAATATTTGCCACTTCCTTGATTTGGAAGATGCTGTTTTCCCCCAATTCACAGCCAGTCCGGAGATGGCCTCAAAAATCACCAAAATAACTCTGATGTAACTAACTTGTTCTACCTTTGCATCGCAAAATATTACTGTGTCGTCTGCATATAAAAGGTGACATATTTGCAAATCAACCTCTGACTGGTTACCAATGTTGAAACCCTTTATCCAGTCGTTCTGATTGGCCACTCTAATCATACTGTTAAGACCCCCCATAGTTAAAATAAATAGGAAAGGGGAGAGAGGATCTCCGTGTCGTAGTCCTCTCTCAGAAGGAAAAACTGGCAGGTTCTCCATTAACATAAATGGAGAACCTGGCAGTTTTGATGCAAAAACCTATCCATTTAAGCCATTTGTCTCCAAACCCCATCTGCTTCAAAATATTAAGTAGAAACTCCCAATTGACATGATCATATGCCTTTTCTATATCAAGCTTGCACATTATTCTTGGGATCTCTCCTTTAATCCATGAGTCTACACACTCACTAGCTATTAACGCGGCATCCATAATTTGTCTTCCTTGAATGAAGGCCATTTGGTGATTGTTCACTAATTTGCTTATCACTTTCTTTAATCTCTCTGCCAACAGCTTACCAAAGACCTTGTACACACCACTAATGAGACTTATGGGTCTGAAATCCCTAAGTTCCATAACTCCTGTCTTCTTTGGGATTAGAGCCACATAGGTGGCGTTATGGCTCTTCTCTATTTCATGTCTTTCATGAAATTGTCTCACTGCATTCATGAAGTCTGTCTTCAGTATCTCCCAGAAGTTTTGGAAAATCTCATCGAAAAGCCATCTGGTCCGGGGGCCTTATCACTAGCACATGATTTTATGCAATTAAAAACTTCATCTTCCTCAAATTGCCTCTGGAACCATACATTTTCCTCTTGTATAATGCTTTCCACTCCCTGTACATTAAAATCTGGCCTCCATTGTTCTATTTCTCTGCAAAGATTTTGGTAGTAACTGATTATGGTTCCTTTAATTTCTTCTGAATTTGTTACTGTAACCCCTTCAACCATCAACTTATCAATGATGTTAAATCTTTTATGGGCTGTAGCCATCCTGTGAAAATACTTGGTATTTTTGTCTCCGTGTTTGAGCCACTGTGCTCTAGACCTCTGCTTCCAAGCTATTTCCTCGTTTTTTGCAACATCTTCAAACTCCATAGAAAGATGTACTTTCTGAAGTAACTCATCCTCTGATAGTAATCTCAACTCCCGAGTCTTTTCTAAAACAGACAGCTGATTTAAGATTTCCTCTTTTCTCTGATTCCAATTGTTCCTATTTTCCCGTTTCCATTCTTTTAGCTTCCCCTTTAGCATCCTCAACTTGGAGGCTAGGACATAAGAGCCCGTACCAGTGATATTGAAAGATCCCCACCAATCTTTAACTTTGTCTGAGAAACCCTCCACCCTTAACCACCATTGTTCAAATTTGAAGTAAGACTTCTTCAAATTTAAATCTCCGCATTCAAGCAAAATTGGATTGTGGTCAGAACCTATTCTGGGAAGCATGTTCTGTTTAATCCGTGTGAAGGTCTCATCCCACTGGGAAGAGAATAAAAACCTATCAATTCTGGAAGCAAACATGTGATTGTCCCCCCTTCTCCATGTGAAAAGACCCCCCAAATAAAGGAGGGTCGATGAACTCCATCTCATTGATCCATTCAGAGAATTCAGTCATTGGCGTAGTAATTTTGTGCCCTTCTGATCTTTCGTTTGGTTATCTTGTGGCATTAAAATCTCCACAAGCTACCCAAGGCCCATTACACAGTTCTTTGATGTTGATGAATTCTTGCCAAAGTTCTCTTCTAGTTATTGGATCACATGAGGCATACACAGCTGAAAGGAACCATGTGAGTGCCTGATTAATGCCTTCAAACTTGCAGGTCACCATTTGGTTTGCTGCTAATACCAGCTCTCTTTTCCACACCCTCTTATCCCACATTACTACGATGCCACCACTTCTACCAATAGCATCCAAATGAAATTCCCCCCATCCATCTATTTTGCCATAATTGTTTGAATACATTCACCTCTGATCCTCCCAATTTTGTCTCAACCAGAACGTAAATATCAGCCCCCAATGTTGAAATAATCTCCTGACTATCCCCCTTTTTTCTTCTCCATTTACCCCCCTTACATTCCAAGAAAGGATTTTGACTTTCATTGGAAATTTGTGTTTGTTATTCTCCCCCTGTTTCTTGATTCCGCTTCTTTAAACTTAACATGAAATTCCAAATTTCTTATCTCCTTTGGGATTGTGTTCTTTGCTTTGATTGGTGTTGTCTCCACCTTCTTCTGCCTCAAATCCCCTCTCTTTTGATCAATTCTCAGAAATAGATCAAAAGCCGCCTTATCACATCCTTCAAAAGCAACCCCAAAAAGTTGACTGAGTTTTAAGTACATTGGAATGTACCCAAAGTGAAGCTTTGTCTTCAATTTCTTGTTCTGAGAGACCATCATTAATTTGAAGAGGAAGAGGATCTTCAAATAATGTAATTTGCTCAGTAGAGCAGTTGCCCTGATGAAGATCTATCTTATCTGAATTAATTCCTGCTCCTTCGATATCATAAATAACCATAGGCATGTTGTTGTCTTCACCCCCCAAAACTTCCGACCCATAGTAAATTGCCACATCATCCTTAGCAAAAGATGTTTCAGTTCTCACTCCCGCCCCCATCTCCATCTCTGATATATTCGAGCTCAGAAAGAAACTGTTCTTTGTCGAGAAGAGGTTGTCAACAAAAGGTTCCTTTTCTAACTGGATGGAGTCTTTCTTAGGCAATTGGGCTTCATGTGACCCACTGCCTCTTATTCCGATTTGGTCCAACACTTCTAATACCATTCCTGGGCCCAAATTTTTAATTATTTCCCTCACATGTCTTTCACTCAGACCCGCGTGTTCCTCTTCCCCTTTTTTTTGCAAACTATCTGCGAATCATTCCCCAAAATGTTAGTCTCCACCTCCTTTGGAATAAAAGTCAGCAAAGGGTTTTGCTGTGGGTTTGCTGTGGGAACTCCCTTCCAGATACATGTTGTGTTGCACCTTCTAGTTGATCAACGTGCATTAGATCCGACTTCTGTCTGAATCTCGCCGGAGCTTCACACCATACCGGCAAAGAAAAATTGAATTCTCCATCACTCACTTCTACATATGCCGGAATTTCCTTCAGAGGACCTTTGACTCGAATACGGGCCCATCTCAGGTGATACTTGAGTTGGGTTTCTTCTTCCGCTTCAATCCATCCGCCGCACTGGTCCCCCATCTCCTTCATCACTTTATCAGTCCATAGATGTAACGGTAGTCCCAAAATTCGAACCCAAAACCAATCAAATTGATGTTGGGCTGGAATAGCTCCCGTCATCGGAGACCACCAGTCCAGTTCCAATAGATGATTACTCCTACTCCATCTCCCTGCTAGCACATTTTCAGCATCCCTTCTCGACTGAAATTCAAAAAGGAATTGGATCCCGTTCAAATCAAATACTTGTATGTTGTGGATGGCTCTCCATGTGTTTTGCGCCCATTTCCTAACATCGTTACGAGAAGGTATCTCATCGCAATCTGGGAAGCTGCCAACCAGACTTCTCCTCAAAGGATCCTTATCTCCATTGGTACTGCTCTCTGGAGCTGATTGAAGTTCATTAGGGGGCCATCTGCTTTTTTGAAGAGCTTCCTTATAACTTCCTTTTTCTTTTTGCCCATTACTGATTATTTCCCCTGCATTTAGAGTTTCTCTCTGTAAAATTTCAGGTTTATTAATAAAGACCTCAATTTTCTTACAGAGATCAGACCAGCCAGCATTATATGTGATTTCAGGGAGAATAATAATAGATCTCAGCTCTCCTTTAACCGTAATAACAGACACAAATCTACCATATTTATTGTACTTCAATGAGCAATAAATAAGAGTAGTTAGATCTCTGCATCTCCAAGTTTTGAAGGATTTTCCTTTGATTTCTGAAGCTTCATTAAATCTTCTGCATAGCCACTGTAGAGCTACTCTACTCAGCTTCATTCTTCTCATATATAACCTAGCACTCTCCACCCATTCAAACCTAGAATCTGAGGCTAGTTTGGTATCAGTTAAGTCATAGGACTTGCCCCTTAATCTGAAAAAGATTCTGTTCTCCATCTTTCTCCTAAATAATTGATGAAAAGAAAGGAAAGTGCTTTAACCGAAGACGTAGTGGGAGGTGAAAGCCCTTGCGGCCTGGATCGAACCAAGAAAAGGCTGAAATTCTGTGTTTTGACGATTCACAGGCCGGCGCATGCTGCGAGAGACTTCGAAGTCTGAGAGGAAGAGGTGGCGCGTGCGAGCGCGTGGGGAACTTTCTGGGGATGGGTCTTTTTGGGGTTGAGTCGCTGGTAGAGGCTTTGGTGGAAGTAGATTGTCAGAAAAAGAAGAGGGATTGAGGATTCCGGTGATCAGAAGGATCACCGGAGTGAAGATATTTACACGTAATTATCTTGCCAATGACGACCTAATGACTATAGGAGTAAGAGATGGAGAATAATTTCCGTCGACATTTTGGTGGAGTTATACTAAACAATGAGCCTGTTCAATGACACCTTCCTGCAAGCTTTTTTTTTTTTTTTTTTTTATTCTTTTCAATTGTTAAACTATGTACCTGTTTACTGGAACCTTCCTGCTGACTTTGCTTCCCTTTTTGTCATTGAGAATGTTAAAGTAGATTGAAACTGAATTTTTCATGCACCAACTGTTGGCAATTTTCCTCTAAAATCATGCAGAAAGATGACACCTTTCATATTACCTCTCCAATAATACCAAAAAACAGTAGTCTTAATTTCTAATATTTTATATCCTGTACTCTATTTTGGGAGTTTGACATCTTTCGTGTATATTACTATTCCTTTTGCAGCTACTAGCAACAAAGTCGTACAGTCAAATGTCCTATCAAGTAAAAAGGAAATAGCTGGTGAAGTTAAAAAAAAATTGGTTTCTGAAGAGCCTACTAGTTCTTCCACATCAACGGCGAAGGTTAGACGTGATGACATGAAGGATAGAGGTTCTTCTATAGAAACTAGAGGAAATCATGACGGCATGAGCAATGTGAGCAATATGTCTGTATCATCAAATCCTCACAATGTGGAGAGTAGAATTGCAACTTCAAGATCACAGAGTAAACCTCAGAAAATTGTATGCACTGGTCAATTAGAAGACAAATTGAACCAGCTAAATCTTGCAATTGTGAGTCAATCATTTGTGTGATTCAAGATTTCAAACATTTAGAATGTCTAATCCGCTGATCTTACTCCAAAATTTTCACCATGTAGGTTGGCCATGTTGATTCTGGGAAGTCAACACTATCAGGAAGACTACTACACCTTTTGGGGCAGATATCTCAGAAGGAAATGCACAAATATGAAAAAGAGGCCAAGCAGCAAGTAATCCTTCTTTTCGCTTTTCATCCACTTTTATAAGGACATAGTGAAATCTTGATTAGCTGATGGATACATATTCTATCTATAATCAGGGAAAAGGGTCCTTTGCTTATGCCTGGGCATTGGATGAGAGTGCTGAGGAAAGAGAGAGGGGAATAACTATGACAGTGGCTGTTGCCTACTTTAACACAAAAAGTTACCGTGTTGTACTGCTTGATTCCCCAGGCCATAGAGACTTTGTCCCAAATATGATATCAGGTGCAACACAAGCAGATGCTGCAATTCTCGTAGTTGATGCTTCAATAGGTGCATTTGAAGCTGGCATTGATGTTAGTGGAGGTCAGACAAGGGAGCATGCACAACTTATCAAAAGCTTTGGGGTGGACCAGATAATAATTGCTATTAACAAAATGGATGCTGTGGGATACTCCAAAGAACGGTTTGATACAATTAAGAATCAACTAGGAACATTTCTTCGTGCTTGTAAGTTTAAAGATTCATCAGTATTGTGGATTCCCCTGAGTGCCATGCAAAACCAAAATTTGGTGACAAGTCCTTCTGATGCAAGATTGTTGTCCTGGTTAGTCTACTGGCCAACTGCTAGCGCTAAAAGGACGCATAGTGTTACTCGTTATCTTCAACTTTATCGTATTTGCATCATTTAGATAAATGCTTTCATGGAAGTTTTATGTTTGCCTGAGGCAGAACAATGGAAACAGTAGGTTACATAGCAAATAGATAAGTTAAACTGTATGCAATTGGAATTTGAAACAATTAAAGTGTTCTTAAGATTGACAACCCAAATTTGCAAGATAATAGATAAAAGGGAAAAAGGATAAATATACCCCCGAACTATCGTAAATGGTATGCAAATACCCTCCGTCATACTTTTGGGACATTGGTG